ACAGGGGAACTACACCCATTTGCATGCCTGTTATTGCTATGGTCTAAGACAGTCCAAAGAAAATTGTAAAAACAACTCTTTTCAAAAACCAAAAGTGCTAAAATTCAAATTTGTGATGTCATCAAGCATAAAGTGTGGAACTGCTCCATAGACAATACATTGGGAAAGACTTTATAGGCAAACCTGAGAGCACACGGGGGAATGTTCTGAGTATGTGGGTTCATTTTCTGTGTCAGAACTGACAACGCTGCAATAGAATAAAAGTAATTTGGGTACAAAAAAAAAGGAACGCTAACATTCAGTGTGTCCACAAAATCTGTCTCCCTCTATTGAGCAGCTCCAGACTTTAGTCTTGATGGCATCACACTTTTGAGACTTACTTCACTGGTTTCTGACTTTGAGAGAGAGTAGCTCGTGGTCACAAGTATCGATTTAATTTCCTAGGGCATGGAAATAATATATTGGAATTCTTACTTTTGGGAGGTGGTCCATAATCTAATAATCCAACCCCTACACCTAATGTTTGTTGTACCTTCTAGTGCCAGTAACACATGCATGTTGTTTGAGCAGTCACAGAGCTGTTTTGTACTATTATATCTGTGTTGCAATCCCCACGCCAAGAACCCAGTGTGGTTCTAATCAATTAGCCTGTCACTGCGGGGAATGAAAATATCCCGGGGTTGTGAGAACTGGCTTTATTTTGGATGATCCTGACGATTCACAGAATGTACTGAGAGCACATGCCTGAGGGGAGGTACAACTTTATTGAGGATCCTTTAACAAAACAGGCACCTAAGAGGGATGCAAAACTTCTGTGATTTTTTTTTTAACCCCCGATGAATGGAAAAGAAAATAAGGAAGGGAGGACGTGAAAGTTTAGAATCTCTGTTCACAATAATGCCTTGCTTAGAATTAGCTGACTTCTGTCATTGTGCTTTTTTTGTTCTTTAAACTTCCTAAGGAGCATCAAAAAAAAAGAAATAAAATTGCTGAAACGTTTGCATCAAAAAGGAAACACAACAACTTTGACAACTTCAGTATTGTTAATGAAGTATTTTGTCCATATAGTGACCCTTACATTTTAGTGTTTTTTAACATTTTTTTTCAGTTGTATGTGTGACAATAATGTCCTGGTTTAAACACAGTTCAGAACCTTTGAAACGTTCTGTTTCTTTACTATACACATTACTCAAAAAAAGACACAATCACATAGTTTAAACTACATTGTCTCAACTCTTCAAGCAATCAAAACATCCAGTAGAAAACCAGACCGAGGCACCCCATCACATATGTTCTGAAAAGTTGAAGAAGCTGCCTCTGTAACTGTGCTGGCAAATTGGGGTCATGGATAAGACAGGTGAATCATGCTATCCTGAACACTTAACGATTCTGTTCAAAATGTACTTATGCACACATGCAATTATACACTCCTGCAGTCTTTTTTGGTTAGTGGAATCAGAAGTGCTTGTTTTCCTTCCCGCCTCACTTACCCCTGGGTATCTCTAAGTGGGAATGATTACAACATGTTTGTATGCTGTTGTTGTCTCAATGCCTTGTTGTGTGTGTGTGCGTGTGTGTGTGTGTGTGTGTGTGTGCATGCCTCTGGAAAATGTTGTTTTGTGTGCATGTGTGCGTGTGTGTGTGTAATTCAACTAGGGAGGTATGCAAGGTAGCAGGCACAGCCAACCCAACACTGTGTATCCAAACCCTTATCCTTGCTTCAGAGCGAGCCCTGTAAGGAACAGTTGGATAATTATATGGATTACTAACTACAACTGTCGATAAAAAAACTATTTTTTTGCTTTTTGGCAAACACAAACACACACACTCAAATATAAGCACGAATAGTTCAAGCATACATTGTTATAGGCTGAAAGGTTTAGCTGATTGAAACTGAACCACATGACTGACAGCTGTACTTTAATGTGCATGTGCAAGTCGTTTACGCTCTATTGTCAATATTTTATTATAGTGCATTTCACTTGATTTTACTCCACTTTATTTTACTTCAGTTGATATTCATTTGTGATCAGGGTTATCATTTCCAGCAGTCCCCTCAGTCTAGTCTGAGTGGGATTGAGGTGTCGTACTCCAAGGACGCCATCTTGTGTTGAAAAACCAAAACAGCTACTCAGTCCACTATGTTTACAAATATATCATCCAGCAAAACAAAGGTAGTGAAAGTATTCTAACAATGCTTATCCCTGTATTACTGTTTTGGTGTCATAAATAAGGCCTAAACAGATATATACTGTATGTTACATCATTCTTCATTTAAACACCGCAGCAGCTCACATGTTACGGGTCAAAGATCAAAGGATGCCTTCATGTCTGTATGTCTGCTGTGCAGTGAGAGTATTTCCCACTCATCCCCAAATGGAAAAGATGCTTTGTAAGCTGACCAAAGGTTGCCCATGCACATGTGTACACACTTTAGCAAGCTGGTTGTCTGCTTCCCATCAAGGCATTCCACGACTGTTGTTACACAAACAACCATGTTTATTGTCTCTGCCCTAAAGAGAAAGAGACCTGCCTCGTCTTCACATGGGAACACTGAGCCAACGCAGCCACTGTAGACGGCAGCCCCCACTCTATCTCCCACAAACCTCTGGCGGCCATGTTTTCACAACTCAAGATAACAGTTAACTGTAGAGAAAACAGTTACGGAGTTTGATGAATGACACAATTGCGAGGAAGATGTGATGGAAAGAGAGAGAGAGAGAGAGAGAGAGAGAGCGAGAGGAAGATGTGGGACAGATGCTGGGATATTTAGGGGGGGGGGGGGGTGAAAGAGATGAGTAAAAGATACATTGCGAGGTCATCTCAATGTTTATCCACCCACGACAATGATGTGGGTCAATGAGTGTTTCTCAAGGCACCAAGTGTTGTTTCAGGATGTTGCAATGATGACAGGTTCCTCGATGAAAGCGCTCATATTTTCTCATAAAGTGCATTTCTCAAGGAGGGGGATTTTGCCAAAATACATTTTAAAATGAAACTAGCTCAGCTTTATCTGCACAGCAATTTGTCTGACTTAACACTCGACTCACCTCGCGTTCAGAGAACAACCACTGGATGTGTTTTGCTGTACGGTAAATGTCATTTCAGGGTCCCGAGGCAAGCTGTGCCTAAAAGGCGGAGATGCAGTGTTTTGCACAAAATGGACTATTAAATCTCATAGCACTGGCAGCCTAGTTGGGTGGCCTGTGGAACATAGGCAGCAGCTGAGCCATCACCTCCGGGGCCTGCATTAACTCATAAAGATCACTGTCTCTTCCAAACACACTGAGCCAAAGTGGAGGTCATGCGTGTTCATGCGGATGTGTGCAAATGTGAGAATGTGTCTCTATCTTAAAAGCATGAAAAATTATACTTTTAGTGCACGTTTCATTTGTAAAAGAAGTAAGCTTGCTTCATTTCACGGTCTGAATTAATCACGTGTGTGTGTGTGTGTGAGTCTCCCACTCCATAATTACCATCATTGGTATCAGATGAAACCCCACACAGAGTTGATCTCGAGATGTTCCCTTTGTGTAAGCAACATCTCACTGCTAGATTGATGGAGAATTGGAGGAGTTCATACAAATGGAGCATTATAGTGTCAGGTTTCCTCTAAGTTCTCTCTCTGTCTCTCTCTCTTTGTCGTTATCTACTCAGTCTTTGCCTCCTTTCCCTTTTCCTTCATTAATAATTTTCCCTCCCTTGTCACTCATTTCCCTGCAATGGCCCACCGATTTCTCATTTTTATATAAGCTCATCCCTCCTATCCATGTTCTAGCTCTCTTCTTGTTTTTTTGGAAGTCAACACAAACACACACGTGTACAGGAAATGCATGGTAAATAAAAGCAGCAGACCACCTAGACTCCACTGTAGGAGATAAGAAATAGGAAGACTCTACTTATTGGACTGATTTACGGAAATGGCTGTCTGCAGCTCAACACTATAGATCCATTTACAGTGGCAACCCTTCATTAATACTTTGTGGGAGGTTGCATTTGTGTGTGTGTGTGTGTGTGTGTGTGTGTGTGTGTGTGTGTGTGTGT